ACAGTACTCCCACTTTGCTTGTGCAAAGATTTCTTTTTTAAAAAATATAATTTCCCATTTAAGTTCTTGTAACTGCCTCCCCCACACCCAGGCTCTTATCCCACACTGAAAATCCCTGACATAAATGAAAGAGAATTTAACCAGGCTGGGGGGCGGGCAAAGGGGGGGGAGCATAGCTTAGAATGACAAAAAAGGGAGATTTGTTTGAAGATAACCAGATCCATTATTTCTTAAGAACACCAAGTTCAGGACTTGTTTCAAGTGGTTTCAAGTCAATCCTTGGAACAAAAGCAAGATAACTTGTATTATTTTTTAATAACAGTGGTTACTCAACCATACTGACAATCTGAGATTTGCTTCCACATAACACAATCCTCTGGTGTGTTTGTTTATTTGTAGCAAAAAGATCTCTGCTTACTGGGCTTGCATTGCAACAAATTTGTATTTGTATGAGTACAACAAATCTCTATGTATGAACACGCACACAAGAGGGGTCCCTGAAGGAAGGTCAAGCTCCCCGATGTTTGTGCTGGAGGGCACATCTTTTCTCATCTACACATTCATTCTCATTCCAAGCAGACATAAGTAAAAGTAGATGGTAGATATAGACACAGGAGATGTGAACCCATCCAATAATTAAAGTGAAACAACAGTTGGCTGGAAACTGATAACCACTTACTACTGAATAAGCTACAATAAACTCAGTTCACTTCTGAGTAGATATGTATACAGTTACAGAACAAAAGCATCTGTGAACCAAATCACTCTAATCAAAATTATAAACAAATAAAATTATAAACTGAAGTTACACATAATTTCTCTGGTACCCTTGGGGAACGCCCTATGGTTTTAGGACACCATGCCAACAATGGGGTAGGGGTGGGGACAGAAAGCCTTTTCCAGATGAAAAAGTAAGCTAAAAGTCAATTGTTCTGCACCCCATTGCAGCTGTATTTAATGCAATGGTGTGTGAAAGTGCCTTCAGTATTGATTCCTGGTGACTGCCTGGATGAATCCCTATAGTTTTCTTGGAAGTGGTTTGCCATTGCCTTCTTCCTAAGGCCGAGAGAGTGTGACTTGCCCAAAGTCATCCAGCTGGCTTTAGGACTAAGGCAGGACTAGAACTCCTAGTCTCTAGCCTTAATCACTACACCAGACTAACTCTCTAATGCAGCGGGGATGAGGTGAAAGTGAAATGCTTTGTGAGGTCAGCTGGCTAAGCATTATTTGGTTGGCTAGTGGCTAGATGCAAATGGAGAAAGTCTGGGTGAAAAGAATATTGTGAAGAACTAATTATAGTAACCCAACATTATGCAAGCAGCCACCCAAATCCTAAGTGATTACTAATATGCAGTGCAGAGCACAAGCTACATGCCATCAGCCATGCTGCTGTTGTCGCTGTCCATGGTGCTAAAGTAGCATTAACTCAGCATTGGGTTCCCCATCTTCCTCTAAGAGTTGGTGGGATTTAATAATTCACTAGGGAAATGAGTGCTGCTCTGATGTTATTCTTGATGGGACTAGCTATGCCCAATCTAATGGCCGCCCCCCCGCCCCTGAATTGGGTCTACAACCCCCTTATGGCCTCAGAATTCTGCAATTTGCAGTCCTAACTCATCTAACACTGGAATAGAGAAGACTGATGTACACATTTAGTGACACAACAAAAGAGGATGATCTGTGATGCAATAGTGGGTTTAAAGGGGCTGTGTGCTCAAATCTTGAAGACATATGCAGATCCCTAATTCAGATTCCAGTTACCATGACTGTTAAGGTGTGGTGGATTTGTCTGAGGTGTAATATGATTGTGGATTTGAGAGAATCCTGACATTTTCATGGAAATTTGTGCCTTGGACCTCTATTTCTTGCATTAAATCAAAGTGCCTGACCTGGGAGTTTTACAATCTATATATAAAGCTGAAATTTATGACATTTCATAATTTTCATAAATTTTTAATTAACAGATATTTTCTCCCCGCATCCCAAATGGGAAATTGATCTGTTGCTGCAACCATAGAGATGGCAATACTGAAACCAAGATGAATTTACAACAGAGTCCAGCCAAAATATTGTGAAATCATTAAAAAAAAAAAAAATTACCAAACCTGCCTCCATCACCCACATTGCCGCTCCCTTTGGCAAATGGCCAGGCATTAAAAGACATTTTAGAAACCTCTCTGGGAAACTATTTTTGAAAGGGGAGGAGCCAGTGTGCTGCTTCAACACGTTGTTTGGAATGCAGAAAACTGCCGGGCAAAGTTATGGATGTATCCAGTTAAAAATATTCCGGACATCTTTGTAAATCTCTCCCTCCCCTCCAGCAGAACAAAAACCCACCAGTTCCGTTCGCTAGGAAGAAACACACCTCGCCCAGGAAATGTGCAGCTTCCCTCTCTTCACCGGACAAGCTGGATTGGAGAAAAAACGTCACCAAAATTTAGCCCCTCTAACTCAGTTTGACTCAAGCGAATGGTTTCCTTTCTTCCATGTCTATCCCGCCCTTCATTCAGGATATGCGGCTCTCTTCAGAAGGCCTGCCGTCCTCCGCACGCTCACTTGGGAGTAAGTCTGCCGAACAAAGTGGGACTTACTTCCGAGTAAGCATATATAAAATGGGGCTGAAAATGCGCAGAAGCTTTCGAGAAGGGCCGAATTCCGCCTTAGCGCAATCCCCCCTCCCCCCCAGGACTTTGGACCATTTCATCCCCAGGCGGGCAGCCCTCATCCACGGCGCCGCCACTGGGTCCGCAGTTGGCCTCCTCCTCGGCGCGGGAACGCCCAAGCCACCAAAGGCCGCCACGCACCCGCAAGGCAGCCTGAAGTCCCTGTGCGGGGCAAGTGCGGACGTCTCTACGCCGAACGTAGTCCTGCCAAGCATGTCGAGGAGGGCAGCTCCGGCGCACGTGGGAATCTGTATTTCGGTTTGCGCCGCCAGTCTCCTTCCCTCGGACTCACACCCGCCCATTTCCTCCCGCCCCCATTTCCCCGCAAGTATTCTTTCCAAGTTCTGGTGCTACTTCTGGGGGATATTGTTGCTGCTAATGATTTTTTTTAAGCCCATAAATACATCAGTACAGCGGGAAGAAAGTTTGCAGCGGGCAGGAAGCGTCCGAGAGCCCGGCGTAATTTGCAGCTAGGGACTTGCAGGGGGAGAGCCTTTCCGCCCCCTAGCCCGAGAGCGAGCCCCGCCGCGGCTCTCCGTTTGGGCAGGCTCCTAACTCCCCAGTAGGCATGCCCAGACTGCGCGGCTCTTCGCCGG